AATTTAGTTTGTTGATACTAAAAAAAAAAAAAAAAAAAAGGAAGAGCTGCAGCAGCAGGAGAAGGCCAGACCGGCCCACTGGAGCAGCAGCAGCAGCAGCAGCAGCAGCTGCTGCTGCTGCTGCTGCTGCTGCTGCATCAGCTGTAGCTGCTGCTGCATGCTGTGTTGTTGCTGTTGCTGCAGCAAATGATGATGTTTTGGGTGTCTCATTGTTGCTGTCTTCTTGCTGCTGCTGCTGTCTCCCTGCTGCTGCTGCTGTCTCCCTGCTGCTGCTGCTGTCTCCTTGCTGCTGCTGCTGTCTCCTTGCTGCTGCTGTCTCCTTTCTGCAGTCTTCGTGCTGCTGTCTTGTTGCTGCTGTTTCCTTGTTGCTGCTGCTGCTGTCTCCTTGCTGCTGCTGCTGCTGTCTCCTTGCTGCTGCTGCTGTCTCCTTGCTGCTGCTGCTGTCTCCTTGCTGCTGCTGCTGCCCCCCTGCTGCTGCTGCTGTTTCGTTGCTGCTTCTGCTGTCTCCTCGCTGCTGCTTCTGCTGTCTCCTTGCTGCTGCTGCTGCCCCCCTGCTGCTGCTGCCCCGCTGCTGCTGCTGCTGTCTCCTTGCTGCTGCTGCTGCAGTCTCCTTGCTGCAGTGTATACCCGTTTTGTGTCTTTTTGTTTAATTTGCATGCGTTGCTGCTGTCTCTCTTTTTTTGTTTTTTTATTTATTTTGTTTCTTTCTTTTTTCTTTGTTTGTCTCCTTTTCTTTATCTCTATCTATCTGTCTCTCTTTCTCTTTCTATCTGTCTCCTTACTTCTGCTGTTTATTTATTTATTTTTTGTTTGTCTCTTTATCTCTATCTATCTGTCTCTCTTTTTCTCTCTTTTTCTCTCTTTCTCTTTGTCTCTATTTCTTTCTGCTGTTTATTTATTTTTTTTTTTGTTTGTCTCTTTCTCTTTCTATCTGTCTCTCTGTCTCTCTTTCTCCTTCTTTCTGTCTCTTTATTGTTTCTGTCTCTTTATTTTTTGTTTGTCTCTTTATCTTTATATCTATCTGTCTCTCTTTCTCTTTCTCTCCCTTTCTCTCTTTCTCTCTGTCTCTATTTCTTTCTTCTGTCTCTTTATTTTTTTTCTTTGTTTGTCTCTTTTTCTTTCTTTCTTTCTCTCTTTCTCTCTCTTTATTGTTTCTGTCTCTTTACTGTTTCTGTCTCTATTTTTTGTTTGTCTCTTTATCTGTCTCTCTTTTTCTTTCTTTCTGTATATATATATATATGTATATATATATATATATATAT